TATGTATATTTTATATTATAATTATGTATATAATTATGTATAATTATTTTACCAATATTTTATTATTATATTTTTATTTTTTATTTATATAGCAAAAAATATGTCAAAATATAATTATTTTTAAATAAATTCAAAATGCTTATTATAAAATTACATATTGATATTCAAAATATAATTTGTAATAAAAAGTAAATTTTAGTTTCCTATTGAATTCATAATGAAATGCTTATGTTATTGATTTTATCATTTCATGAATATTCAATTGTTCGAAGATATATAATTGATAAAAAGATTATATATATTTTCATTAAACTTTTTATAATTTTTATATAAATAATATATATATAATAGAGTCTGCACTCGTTTTGCCTACGTTATCATAGTGCATTATTAATTTCAAAAAACGTAAAATGTTCATATAAACATGTTGAGAATATGTACAAGTTGTATAAGTTAGAAATTTTTTATAACAATTATAATTAATTTTTTGTAACGAACATTTTTAAAGTATCTTTATACATAAAATCTAAAATTTTATTTTATTCATATGACAACTTATTGATTACATCATTAATTTTTTCTTCAGAAATTTTTGATTTTAACAAATTAATTGTATAGTCAATAACAGTTTTTTCATTTATTTTTAAAATTTTTATAATTTCATTTGTTGATGAAATCTTTGATACTTCAATCCAATATCCTTCAAGATATTTCAATAATTCTGCCATTGTTTCTTTAGAATCTTCCTCTTCTTCTTTCATTGCTGAAAAAATTCATATAATTATAAATTTTTTTATAGAAAATAAATTTATTTATTCAATAATATAATTCACCTGTATGAATGCTAACTATAATATTTAAAATTGTTGCATCTATATCAATAGTAGAATCTGCTCTTAAAAATCCTTTCCATCGAAAATCAAGAATCATTTCTGCACATCTATGAACACAAGAAGCTTTGATTTCATCTAAAGGATAAAGATTCCATGGATCAGTAAAACTTATTAAAATTCTTCGTAGAATTTCTACTATTCTAATTAAGTTATCTTCTTGTAAAATTTCTTGATGAATTTGATGACTTTTCCGAAGAATTGAAAACAGCTCTAACCAATCTTCAAGATATTTCAAAGTTGAAACTGAATAAAAAGTTTCATCCTGAGGAAAAACTTCTTCAAAAGATTCTAACATTCCTGTAAATTTTAATGTTCTTGTAATTTTCTTGTTTTTAAAAATTAATAAATTATAATAAATTTTCTGCTTTATAAAAATAAATTAATTCTTTGCAACATTATGTCCAGTATGATTGTATATAGTTATTTTAGTTATTTAGTTATTTAGTTCAATATTTTGTTTGAATGATTTATATTTAGATTATATGTTTAGAATACAATAGAATAATATTGTTTAGATTTTGACATCATTATTATTTTTATATTTTATCGTAAGTTATTTCATATCTATTAATATTTATTTATATTAAATAATTACAGATTGCAAAGAGTTAAAGAATTTTTCACAAAAATATAGAAAAATTTAGCACCTGACAAAAAACTAGAAGATTCAAATAATTCATCCAATAATGTTCTTCCAGATGGAAAATCAATTTCTGCTGAAGAACGTAGAAAATTTGTGGTTGCAATCAAAAGTTCTTCTGTAAAAATTAGTTATAGATAGAAATAAACAAAAAATCTATTTGTTTTTAATTTTATAATTATAATATTATTATTAAATTAAAAATAAATTATTAACAAAATATTTTTATATATTATTTATTTAAACAAAATATTGGATTTTAGAAAATTAATTATTAATATTAAAACATTAATACAATAAATAAAATGTTATAAGAAATACATGATTTATTATAATACTTACCATTTGTAGAACTTTTTAAAATAAAAGGAACTACTTCTCTCAAAAAAGTTGATTTTCTTAAATTAATTCTCCATTTTGACTTTAAATTCATTTGAATATTCCAAAGTGCAGAACGTAAAAGTCGAAGTATTTGCACTAATATAGCAGTATCTTCAGATGAAAGAAGATGAAGAATTATATCAAGAAGTTCTTCTTTTTCTCCTAATAAGTCAAGTACTGATGATTCACAAGTCATATTCCCAATTATTCCCAAAATTATTTCCTATAAATTATAAGAAATATTATAAGTAAAATAGATAAATAATTATTATCTATTATAATAATTATAATATATATATATANTTAAAATATAGCACTAATAGATAGTAGATTTTTTTTATTATAAATTTTTTTAATAATTCAATATTTAATTTTTTTTAATTACAAAATCATTAATAATTATAAGGATTCAATAAAAAAAAGGATTCAATAAAAAAAAGCTTATAGAACTTAAAATAAGTTCTTTTAGAAATCATAAAAAAATTCAATAAATATTTTCTAAAGCGTTTTATTGAATAAATGTAATATAGAAATAATGAAAATAAAAATATAATATAGAAATAATTAAAATGAAATATATTTATGAAAATGAAATATAAATAAAAGATAAAATAATCTTGAAATAAATCATACCGTAAATCTTGGTTCTTCAGAAGACTTCAAAGCAAATTCTGCAATTTTAAAAAAGTGATTTTCCATAAGAAAATGGACAATGTCTTTTTCTGTAGTCATATCCCATAATGTGCATAAATCATTTTCTATCTTTTCATTCCAACCATCTTCAGAAATCTTCAGAATATTTAATTTATTTATATTGTAATTAAATTAGTTTAAAAATATAATTATATAATAAATTTTAATATTTAACAAAAATTATATATATCAAATAACTTAAACATAATTATTATGATTTTATTATTATATTTTTTATATATCATATAATATTATATATTATTTTTATATATTATAATTTTGAAAAAATCTTTTATTTATTTAAATAAATAGTAATATAAATATATATAATTTATAACAAAAGTTATATTATTATTTATATTATTATAAATATATTATTATCTAATTACTGAAATAAATAAATATAAAATATACATATG